AAAAAAAACATGAAAAGACAACATCTTAAAGTGACTATGTGACTGTGCAAACAGAAAATCCAGGAAAAAACAGCAAAATATTCGAGAAAAAGCACCGTACACCAAGGCTGTGTGCAAAAATCCCAGTGGGATGCAAGTGAAACAACAACAACAACAACAACCACAAGACAACTTAAATTTAGGCCATCAGTCTAACTTCGTACTACAACAAACACACATGGTCAAACCAAAAAACTTTTCGAAATCTCCAAAATAAAGCCATAAAAGCAATATAATAGTGATCATAGGAACTGTGACCGAATTGTCACAATAAACGACATAAACAACATGTACCACCAAACCCTGCAGCCATAGCTGGCTGCATGAGTCACTCCACAACAACAGGAGCATCAGTCGGAGTATCAAATTTTTCAATGCACCTTTAAGATCAGCACACTAAATCAAAATACAGATAATACTTTGCAGCGGTCATCCGGAGCGAAACATTTTATTTTATTTTAGGCCACTGAATAGCAGTGGCAGCTAGGGGTGTACAACTCTTCTAGAGCAGTTTTGAGTGAAGATCTCGCAGGTAGTGATTCAAGTTACAGTTTATTGGCAATAGAATTCCAGACCCTGGGGGCATCAATAGCAAAGGCCCTTCCTCCAGTATGTGTACAGCAATAGGGAATGTGAAGCTGGTAAATGGGTCAAATTTGTTATTTGAAACAGAGAGGAGATCCAGTAGGTAGACTGCTGATTTTTTTGTCGTGAATAAATAACATCTGGTGCACAAGCCGTCGAACATTAAGAGCTTTTAAGTTTGACCCAATGTAGAGATCACAGTCCTATATGGGTAGTTCAATGCAAATCTTAAGGCCGAGTGATAAATGGAATCAAGCTTCTTCAGTACAGTACTTGGGGCTGATTTATACACGATGTCACAGTAGTCAAGTAGAGGCAGTATGGTAGCTTTTATCAATTCCAAACGGAACATAGGGGGGTAGCACTGCTTGTGTCGATACAGAAAACCAATTTTTATTTTTGTCTTTTTACCAATACAATCAATGTGATCTTCAAAATTCAGTTTTGAATCCAGGATGACCCCAAGATACTTATAGATCTTGACTTGCTCTATTTGATAATTATTTAAGGAATGTAATTGGGGAAAAATAACTTCCTGCTTTAGTCCTGGTGAGAAGCATAGTACCTTGGTTTTGGAGGTATTCAGGACTAGTTTAATAGCAACTAGCTGATGTTGTAGTTTGTTGAAATCATCCTGGAGCTTAGCAATCACGTCATCCGGAGAGCGGCCAGCAGTAATCAGTAACGTGTCATCTGCAAAAAGATTTACCCTGGAATGATCCAGGTCAGTGCCCAAGTAATTGACATGAAGAGAGAACAAAAGGGGGCCGAGGATGGAACCCTGTGGAACCCCTTTTGTTATCTTAACACTGTTTGACCTCCAACCATCTGTGAACGCAGTTTGGGTGCGAGAAAAGAGGTACTTTTTAAAACCATTTTACTGCGTTTTCGGAAAAACCGAGGCAACTTAGTTTACTAAGCAGAGACATGTACACAAGAGGAAGTGCTTACAATGCAGGTAAAATGTTTGGTTTATTAAAAATGTAAGGACACTATTGTTAAAAACAATAATAACCAATCACATAATACATTGTGGAAATGTATTATCATCGATAGTTCCTTATCTCACAATCTAGGGAACTGTGAGGATCACCTGGTAACCATGGAGACACAATTGACAGCAAGTTTCACCTTACGAAGAGCCTTAAAACCCAACACAATCCACTAACATACTTTAACATGTTTTCCCACGGAAAATTGCCTAAATAAATTCCCCAAATAAATTCCTGCTGATTGAATCAAACCATCGCCTGTGTGCAGAGTCGATGTGTCACAAGGTCACTTGCCGCGAGGATATTCAACCACGTGATGTTCCACAGAGTCCCCCCCCCCCCACATAATCCCTCTCACCTGTGGGGCAACTCGTGGTGGCACCTCTGCTGGAGACATTAGTACAAGAGATGCGGTTTGTTGCGGCTGGAGTTCCAGGATTCCCAGGGGGTCCAGGAGGACCAGTGTTGCCTGGTTCCCCTCTCAGGCCGTTGTTACCAGGGGGACCAGCTGGTCCAGGAGGTCCAGCGCTCCCAGCTGGGCCAGGTGAGCCAGCTGGGCCCAGTGGTCCAGCAGGACCGATACTGCCCGGGTTGCCTGGCACACCTACAATCAGGACACACCGCCATTGTCTGGGTTTAAGTGACCATAGTTTTCAAAGGCAATGGGCCATGATAAAAATAGCAGTCGGCGGTGCACCCTTGGGAAAGATTTCCATTTTAATGTCCACTTTGCAGTAGATAGTGCACCTTGGATTAAAAATATCCTTGCCGGTTGAAGAAATAAAGTCATTGTGTTTGTACAAACCTGGCAGGCACACGAACTGCAAGCATATGCTAGCAAATTGCAATTATAGATTATTTCACAGTTGTGTTCCAATGGGCCTTTTCAGTAAAAATAAATAGCGTTTGTTGGCAAACGTTTCGAGCACGTGTTCTCACTAGAACCAATAACCAGCGATGAATTACCTTGTGGTCCGGCACATCCATCCTTTCCAGGAGGGCCTCGTGGGCCTCGAGTTCCAAAACAAATGCTGCGAGCACACACAGGTGGAGAAGTGAGAGGGCAATTACGGTATTCCCTTCGTCAATGTAATGGACACCATTAGTCTTCAACAAGGGGTGCCCACGGTGGTGAGATGTTAACTACATCGCCTGGTATACATGGAGGTCGTGGTGTCAATCCCGACCCTGACACCTGCTTATATGTTTGGAGATCGCATGTTTCTCTCTGTGATCGCGTGGGTTTCTCTCCGGTTCCTCATTTAGAAATATCCATTTATCCGAGTATTCAGCTGCTATACATTTCCACATGATAAGGCATTTCCACATGATAAGCCATTTCCACGTGATAAGTCATTTCCACATGATAAGTCATTTCCACGTGATAAGTCATTTCCTCATGATAAGTCATTTCCACGTGATAAGTCATTTCCACGTGACAAGTCATTGCCACATGATAAGTCATTGCCACATGATAAGTCATTTCCACGTGATAAGTCATTTCCACATGATAAGTCATTTCCACGTGATAAGTCATTTCCACGTGATAAGTCATTGCCACGTGATAAGTCATTGCCACGTAATAAGTCATTTCCACGTGATGTCATTCCACGTGATAAATCATTTCCACGTGATAAGTCATTGCCACGTGATAAGTCATTGCCACGTAATAAGTCATTTCCACGTGATGTCATTCCACGTGATAAATCATTTCCACGTGATAAGTCATTTCATTGTGCCTGGTTACTTCTGAAAGAGAGCTATATAGCTCAGTGGGCCTTACCTGGTAAAATAAAATAAAAAAAACGTTTTTTTAAGTGTATCTTAAAAATGCTAGATTAACCTTTTTCCCCCTCTCGGTATTTAATCATAATTGGGGACATTCAGGATACATTTGAATTTTGTAGAATAAAATTGGTGAGATTTGTATTTTTTTAAAGGATGTTTGCTGTGATTGAAAAAAAAAAGTCGGAAACCTTAAAACTGCAGAATGTTTGCTATCAATGTACTCATGTACTGTGTTTAACATTGAACCTTGACATAAGTAACACGTTTTCCATCTACAATGTGTAACACACGTTAAAAGTAACGTTTTTTTATATTTTACACAATAAAATAAAATACAGCATTGGCAGTTGTACAATTATTCTTCATCAACATATTATCCGTCTCTTCTAAGTGAGAGTTGTTTACATTAACTTGGTTACAGCTCAATACAATTGATATTGAGAAGGTAATAATAGTTGAACCATAAGTTACAACCCAAACTTTAGTTTACATCTAAGTTATCGTCCTGTCATGACAACACGACACGGTTTATGCTCTACTGATGATTAATTCCCCACGAATAAACAAACTAAACTGCGCGTGTCGGTGCGGACCAGCAGGACAGGTCTAATCTATCTCTCTACTGTCTGATTCTTAATTGGCCTGTCCGTTCTCTATTCTCCCTTTCTCTCTCCTCATTTCGCCCCTTTGTCTTTCCTCTCTTCCTTGTGCTTACGGTCCGACCTCGCAGTGTTGGAGTTCGCGGAAAGATGATGCTGTAAACGGAATCTGGCTGTTCTCTGACCCGTCTCACGGACGTGCGAGTAACAGTGAAAAATGACGGCTCCTCGATCCCTCTCTGCAGTTGATCCCCAGCGAAAACGACCCCGTGCTTCCATAATCGTCCCTTTTTATGCTCGACTTCAAAGCCTCCGCGCCGCCGTCCCATTGGCCTCTCATCCAATCCGATCACCCCCCCTCTCTGACGCTCGGCCCCCCCATTGTTTAACCAAGTGCACCGACTCAAATAAGTGAGCCGGTGCCGCATCATCGCCGTTAATCCGTGGTGCATCACGGGTAGAGGCGCTAATCCGTGGTGCATCACGGTTAGAGACGTTTAACCCGCGCTGCCCCGCTCCTCACCTGCCTGCTGTTCCGTGTGTGTCTTGTGCATTTCCTCGCTGCGGTTCTAAGTTAAGCCACGGCGCCGCAGTGCCATTTGGCCTGGGGGGGGCTGCCAATTCCTTGACCCTGAGAAACCATGGAGGACCCCCACGAGGGGGCCTCTCGGGTAAAAACTCAGGGCAGGTGCCCCCCCTCCTCACCTGACAATGGGGACCCTTTTCTACACGAGTAACTAAACATGCTGGTGTGCATGTCTTCAAAGATTTTGTAGAAACATTGAATATATTTTAATTGTTGTAGTCACTCAGTTTCTCTCCGCGGTGTGGTAAGATTTTGTTACGTAATATCCTTCGCCTCGAGATACACAGCAAACCCCTGCTTCTAAGGGAGTGGCATGCAAATTATCTGTAAATGCTGTTGAGCAATCAAACGATTGGAATTTCCCAATGATTGTTTGTTTGCCAATGCTGTCCCTTTAAATACCTGCACCCAGACTGAAGAGTTACATTCATCGTGGGGTTTCTGTCCCAAATCATTGCCAACATGAAGAAGGTATTGTGCAGTCTTGCAGTCTGCCTCTTAATCTTTCGACCGACACATGCCGGTCCCTTGGAAAGCGACGTTTCCATCAACGAAGAGGCCACGGTGAATATTTAAAATATGCAAATTGTTTGAAGATATTACGCGATTAATGCTGTGCCGTATGATGTACTCCATTTGAAATTATTCATTTCCAGTACATGTGAACGAATAACACATTTTCAAGAGTTGAGCATTATTATGTACAGTGCCATATTACTAAATATTCAATGCAGTATTTAACCAAATTTCCAGTTTATTGCGTGACATTGATGGCGTTTAAGGTTTTGATTTAAAGCTTTCGTGACTGCAGGGATTCATATTCTTGGTTCTTTCGGTAAAGTCACATAGAAGGGAAACAAAAAAATATAAATTGTTTTATATTTTTAGTATTTTATTGTTTCCCTTCTACGTGACTTTACCGAAAGAACCAAGAATATGGGTTTTAAGGTGTTTAGAATTTTGACTAATGTATAACTAACTTTGACCTGATGTATGCTGTACTTTGATATACTGATTATTAAGAACTCGGTTTGTGAGACCTTGGATGAAAGCTTCAGTTTCCACTGAATCAAATCAACTATTAATACACTACTTGACTATTCACAAAACTTCACAATGTGTAATGTTTTGTTTTTATTTTGTGAACAGAGTGAACTGGAAAAGCTCCTGCCCAGCAGTTGCAGGTAATGAGACTTCGAAAAGCGAAGCTCTGTTTTCGATTTAATTCAACTCTGCTAATGTTGGAATAGGTTTTACCCTTTTAACTGGCACAAAAACTGACACCTTTATTCAAGGCATCATGTTTGCAATAACCACAACACAAGCAGTCAAAATGCAAACAAAAAAGACAACTCTGATAATAATATGCACTGTCTCATAGTGTTTCTGCTAATGTTTTCAATGACAGGACGATAACTTAGATGTAAACTAAAGTTTAGGTTGTAACTTATGGTTCAACTGTAATTACCTTTTCAATATTAATTGTATTGAGCTTTAATCAAGTTAATGTAAACAACTCTCACTTACAAAAGACGTAAAAATATTTTGTTGAAGAATAATTGTACAACTGCCATTGCTGTATTTTATTTTATTGTGTACAATATAAAAAAATGTAACTTTTAACGTATGTTACACATTTCAGATGGCAAACGTGTTACTTATATCAAGGTTCAATGTTAAATACAGTACATGAGTACATTGATAGCAAACATTCTGCAGTTTTAAGGTTTCCGACTTTTTTTTCAATCACAGCAAACATCCTTAAAAATAAAAATCTCACCAATTTTATTCTACAAAATTCAAATGTATCCTGAATGTCCACAATTATGATTAGATACCGAGAGGGGGAAGAAGTTAATCCAGCATTTTTAAGAAAAACCTTTTTTTAAATTTTACCAGGTAAGGCCCACTGAGCTATATAGCTCTCTTTCAGAATTGACCTGGCCACAAATAATGACTTATCACGTGGAAATGACTTATCACGTGGAAATGACTTATCACGTGGAAATGACTTATCAAGTGTAAATGACTTATCAAGTGTAAATGACTTATCATGTGGAAATGACTTATCACGTGGAAATGACTTACCAAGTGTAAATGACTTATCACGTGGAAATGACTTATCACGTGGAAATTACTTATCATGTGGAAATGACTTATCATGTGGAAATGACTTATCATGTGGAAATGACTTATCACGTGGAAATGACTTATCACGTGGAAATGACTTATCACGTGGAAATGACTTATCATGTGGAAATGTATAGCAGCTGAATACTCGGATAAACGGATATTTCTAAATGAGGAACCGGAGAGAAACCCACGCGATCACAGAAAGATACATGCAATCTCCAAACATATAAGCAGGTGTCAGGGTCGGGATCGAACCCACGATCTCCATGTATACCAGGCGAGGTAGTTAACATCTCTCCACCGTGGGCACCGCTTGTTGAAGACTAATGGTGTCCATTACATTGACGAAGGGAATACCGTAATTGCCCTCTCACTTCTCCACCTGTGTGTGCTCGCAGCATTTGTTTTGGAACTCGAGGCCCACGAGGCCCTCCTGGAAAGGATGGATGTGCCGGACCACAAGGTAATTCATCGCTGGTTATTGGTTCTAGTGAGAACACGTGCTCGAAACGTTTGCCAACAAACGCTATTTATTTTAACTAAATAGGCTCATTGGAACGCAACTGTGAAATTATCTATTATTGCAAATTGATAGCATATGCTTGCAGTTCGTGTGCCTGCGAGGTTTGTACAAACACAATGACTTTATTTCTTCAACCGGCAAGGATATTTTTAATCCAAGGTGCGCTATCTACTGCAAAGTGGACATCAAATGGAATTTTTTTCCCAAGGGCGCACCGCCTCCTGCTATTTTTATCATGTCCCGTTGCCTTTGAAAAATATGGTCACTTAAACCCAGACAATGGCGGTGTGTCCTGATTGTAGGTGTGCCAGGCAACCCGGGCAGTATCGGTCCTGCTGGACCACTGGGCCCAGCTGGCTCACCTGGCCCAGCTGGGAGCGCTGGACCTCCTGGACCAGCTGGTCCCCCTGGTAACAACGGCCTGAGAGGGGAACCAGGCAACACTGGTCCTCCTGGACCCCCTGGGAATCCTGGAACTCCAGCCGCAACAAACCGCATCTCTTGTACTAACGTCTCCAGCAGAGGTGCCACCACGAGTTGCCCCACAGGTGAGAGGGATGTGTGTGTGGGGGGGGGACTCTGTGCAACATCACGTGGTTGAATATCCTCGCGGCAAGTGACCTTGTGACACATCGACTCTGCACACAGGCGATGGTTTGATTCAATCAGCAGGAATTTATTTGGCGAATAGCTTTAGGATAATTTCCGTGGAAAAACATGTTTAAGTATGTTAGTCGATTATGTGTTGGGTTTTAAGGCTCTTCGTAAGGTAAAACGTACTGTCAATTGTGTCTCCATGGTACCAGGTGATCCTCACAGTTCCATAGTTTTGTGAGAAATGGAACTATCGATGATAATACATTTCCACAATTTTACGTGATTGGTTATGATTGTTTTGAACAATAGGGTCCTTACATTTTAAACACACCAAACATTTTACTATCATTGTAAGCACTTCCAGTTGTGTACATGTCTCTTTTCAGGAAGACAAAGTCTCAATGCACAATATCCTGGTTATTCTGAAGAGGGTTTTCAATTCAATGTTCATGACGTCATCTCCGATGGCATCACCCCATAATGTGCACTGTGATCGCATCTATCATTGTCTCCCCGCAGGGCACATAGCAGTGTCGTGTTCATGTGGAAGCGCGTGTGGTTCGTGGGACATCCCAAACGACAGCACGTGTCACTGCCAGTGCGCTGGGATCGACTGGACATCGGCGCGGTGCTGTAGGCTGGCCTGACACGGATCGGCAGTGAAGATGGGAAACAATCGTAGAGAAACCAAACTACATGATCAACACGAACCAGAGAGAACACCACAGAGACAACACAAACACTGTCACGGGTATGGAGGTAAACACAACATTAATCACGTGGAGCAACAGTAAACACTTAAGCGTGTGCCACCAGCGAAAGCCCAGAGAATAATGCAACTGATAATCACAGTTAAATATGTTTGACCTTATACAGTGTCATTTATGCAAACAGCATCCCAAATGAAAGTTGTAGTTTTCACTTGTGTAAATTGATTTAAGCTAGCTTTTTTTTACCTTGGTTTCATGGATGTGTTTGTTTTCAGTGCATTCAAAACAAATGGCTTGCTCTGGATATATATATGTTTACTAATCCATCATTGAAATTTGGGACACGAGGTTTTGTTACTGTATCACATATGGTGATTTGGTGCGGTTGATTTCTGTTGAGATACATGGTACAGTATTTGCATAATAAATGGTTGCTGTTGAGATGATTTGTACAAGTCTTTTTATTTAAAACCGTACTATGAAAAAATAATTACCATGCTTTTGACTTTAGGCTCATATTTAAAAAAAGAAAAAAATTAGCTGCCATTTGGCAATTCCAAATGCTCACTGTCTTAACATTTCCCAGCATTCTATTTGAATCAGTACATAGGGTGGTCCAGATGCCTTGTGAGCTCCAAGTAGCATTTGTTTCCTTTGCTTATTCAATTCTGTTTTCACCCCTATTAGTATACAAAAACAGTACGTTTTAGTTCAATGGGGGTCAATTGATACCGAGACCACCCTGTACTATGTGGACGCAGTGTCAGAGTCTTGTGGCAGAGTCTTGTGGCAAACCGAGTGGAGCTGAGTTGAAGCTGGTTGGCTTCAGTACCGACCCGACTCTGCCAGGGTAGGGTCCCACCACTGGTCCGCTACAACCCGGATCTGACAAGTGCCTCAGTTGAGGGTCCCCGGGTGCAGGTCCAGTCTTCAGGTCTTGGACGTCTTCAGGCTTGAGTTGGTGAACACTGCCGGACCCCTTCAGAGGGTCGGCTTTTTATCCCCAGGTTGGGGCTTACCCCTCCCCTAATGAACCCCCCTCCAGAACCTTCTGGAAAGCCTTAAAGGGCCTTAAATCCTAAAGGGTCTTAAAATCGGTGGGCGGTCTCTATCCCCCCCCCAGCCCCCAGCCCTTGGGGGTCTGGGGTGTCAACCTCCGGTCATGGGCCACCTGAGAGGGGGGGGGTTTACCCCGTGACCGTGGTGGCAGGTAAAGTGACTTAGAGCGCCTTGTTATGGCGCAACACAAGCACTGCATGGCACGATGGGGTTGAATACCTCGCCACTCACTCACCCTATCGCAGACGCCACCTGAACAAATCTAAAGCCTGGGCTTCCGCAGTGCAGGGGGTTTTCAACCATGAGTGCTACTCGTGTGCTCACTATAATTGCCAGCAGGTTGCCTTGAGCTGTGTACAGGAAAACCTTGCCCAACGCGGCTGGAGCACTTGCACACGTCCTTCATTTCGAGTGTGCAACATATATTACACTCGTGCTGTGTCCACGTCTACAATAAAGTACATACAATATAGTCTACAATGCAGGACAAACATAAACCGTGTCCTAGTCTACAAGTACGATACACACGTACATGGCGTGCTACAGTCTACACTCTACATGATTAGACTGACGACTAAGAGGTCTCCAACGCCAATTATCTTTCAAAGCAACAAAAGTAAATGCAATTCAATCGCAAAATACGAATCTAACATTAATACTTTTTTAATGTAAGAGGTGCATAGTTTTGAAAACTAAATTCAGTTTCTGATCCGCTCCTACTGAACTTCTATCGCACCGTACGTAGCCAACCAAACTGGGCGTTTTATGAACCCTCGATGTTCTAGCTTCATGTAGGCATTTCAGGTTTTCGTGTTAATTGTTTGCATATTAATAATAGGCGTGCTGTGTGTAAGGTATGTCTGGGTGTGTGCGCGTGTCAACTTGCCCCACTGTTTTGCATTTTTTTTTGCCAACATCGAAGAAAAGTCCAATTGCAGTCCAGTTTGACACGTAGGCTTTCGCGACCAATATTTCCACGTACTACCCGGCCCCTCCACCCCTGATGACAAAACGCATTCACTTATCTCTGAAAATGAGTAACATTAACGGAACATTAACCTTCCTCTTTTTTAACACAGCAATAAGGTTATTTTGTCACGGTTGGCATTTAGATATTAGGTTTGGGGTCGTTCAATGAGGGCAATTAACCTAACTTAATTTTTGCATTAAACATAAGTAAAATATGAATTCACGTCTGAAACAAAAGGTATGAACAATGCCATTATTTACGGATTAACCGTGGTAGTCCGGAGACCAAATCAGCAGGGGATCAAATACTTTTTTCCCTCACTGTATATAGTACACAAATGTGATCACAACCCTGTTTTTAATTGGATGAAAGCATAGAGAGTCGAGAGGCTGCTGTACCGGAACTGAGTTGAATTATACCTGAACTGGAGATGGCATTGCCTCGTCTCCTAAACTGTGATGTGTCGGTCTGGACTTGAAAAGTGTGCTTTTGATATAGGGCCTTTTGTTAGTCCGGCAAATTGATGATTTTCGTTGGTGTTGGATGGAAACGCTGTGGTGGGCAGTGCCGTGGGGGGAGGGCCAATTTAAATTGGCCTTTCCTCTCATGGCGTTTGTAACCACCATAGCGGCCAAATGGGGGCTCTGGACGGGTGCGAGGGGCTGGTTACCCCTCCACCTTCAATTAATTACCACCAAACCACAACTGAAAAATGTAATTAATAAGCTTGTGCCAGAGGCCCCGGGGGGACAGGCGTCTATGACGTCTCCTGGCCAAACCCAATTTGGTGGAGCCAGGAGACTGTATTCTTACCCTCGGGGCTCCTCCAGAAACAACAACAAACCACTACGGGTGGCCACGTGGAATGCTCGAACGCTCACTGCAGAGGAGAGGCTGCCACTCCTCTGTCAGGAGCTGGACCGGTACCACCTAGATCTCTGTGGTATTCAGGAGGTCCGGTGGACCGGCTCTGGCTCCTGCCATCATGAGGGGTGGACAGTCCTCCACTCGGGGCAGGGGACTGCGAAACAACAGGGAGTGGCTCTTCTTCTGAACAAAAGAATTAAAGGGGCGTGGAAGCATGGCAGTGAGGTGTGGGAAGCTGTAAGCCCCAGGCTACTTTGGGCTCGACTTCCCATCAGCCAGAGGCGAGGAGTGGTGGTCGTAGTTACTTATGCCCCCACTGAAGACGAACATACGTGGAGGGATGCAGGCAAAGCCGATGAGTCAGATGCCTTCTATGACCTCCTGTCACAGATGCGAGCTAAAGTGGCCCCTCGGCATAGAATCATCTTGATGGGTGACTTCAATGCCCGCGTTGGTCATGATGCTGGCACCTGGTCTGGAGTGATTGGAAGGCATGGGCCAGATCAGCTCAATAACGGCAGGAGGCTGCTCGATTTTTGTGCAGTCCATGGGCTTGTAATTACCAACACGTTGTTCTGGCATCAGCACATCCACACAACATCATGGATGCATGCCGGGTCTAAGCGAGAACATCTGCTGGACTACATAGTGACGGAACAGCGGATGCGGGCCCATGTCCTTGACACCAGGACCTACCGTGGAGCTGATCTGCCCACTGACCATCGACTTGTCATCTGTAAGATGCGCCTGCCATTCTTCCACTCCGGTGGTGGGTGTAAACCCAGGACCCCATTCAAACCCATAGTGGCATGGTCTCAGCCAGCTGATGAAAGTTGCAAGCGTGAATTTCATCATCGCTTGTAGCTGGGGTTGGCATCGTCCCCCACTCCTCCAGATGGCGAGGGGAAATGGGCGATATTTAGGATTGTGGCTCATGTAGCTGCAATGGCTGCTTTGGGTACACGGTCCAGACCTCCCCAGTGACCCTGGCTGACACAGGAGGTGTTCAGGCTGGCTGAGAAAAAGCGACAGACCCACTCTCATCGGCTACAGCATCCCACGTCAGAGAATGAGGAGGCATACCGCAGCCTTCGCTCAGAGGTTCAGAGAGCCGTGAGGCGCTGCAAGGAGTGGTGGTGGTCGCAGGTTTCTGAGGAGATGGAATCTGCCTCAATGGCCCGCGATCACAAATCGCTCTTTAACTCCATAAAAAAAGTAATCTGTAGCACCATACCTATTACCATCATTAGGGGAAAGAATGGTGATCCAATCTCCGACCCCCAGGGAACAGGTTTGTAGATTTGCTGAGCATTTCTGTGCGGTCCTGGGGGAGGGAAAATTCCTCAACCTGGAAAACAACGTGGGACAAAGTAGGGATGACCCTGCTGAGGCTGCGGTGCCTCCATTATTGGAAGAAGAAGTCACCCCCTCTGAGTGGCTGGCTGAGATTCCATCTGTTCAGAAATACTGAAGGCGATCCATAGTCTAAGACCAGGAAAGGCACCAGGCAGAGATGATCTCCCAAGCTAATTGCTGAGGGAGGGTGGCGTTTGTGCACAGACTGCCCTACATGACATAATAACAACAGTCTGGACCACTGGATGGGTTCCGCAGGATTGGAAGGATGCCCTGGTGGTCCCCCTCTTTAAGAAGGGGGACCACACAGACTGTAACAACTACAGGGGCATCTAACTCCTCAGTGTGCCAGGAAAGGTCCTGGCAAGGATTATTCAACATCGCCTTGCTAGGCATGCTGAGAAGAGGCTTGTGGAGCCCCAATGCGTTTTCAGGAAAGGGCGGTCCTGCAGAGATGCCATATTTCCTGTCCGTCTGCAACAGCAGAGGTGTAGGGAATTCCAACAAGACCTACATCTCTGCTTCATTGACCTGGTCAAGGCCTATGAAACCATGAGTAGGCCTGGGTTGGTCTTCATGGTTTCGGAGTCCCTAACCCTCTGCTCACGATCATTAAGGACCTTCATGATGGTGAGCAGGCCCAGATAACACTACGTGGCCGGGAATCGGAGTCATTTCCTATATACCTTTGGGTGCGACAGGGATGTCCTCTGGCTCCCACATTATTTAACATCTATTTTAACCACGTAGTTCGTGAAGCCTTCAATAGCTGTACCAGAGGAATTTCCATCTGGTAC